GGCGCGTGTGCGTACGTGCCCAAGATCCCGAGAGGAGAATGGAGGAGAAGGGATTGCGGCGTGGCCATCCCCCCTGGGGGGTGATTTCTCGCTTTCTGTCTCTCTGTCTGTCTCTCTGTCTGTCTGGCGAGTGCACGCGCCCTATCACAAACAACAACAACAACAAAAAACTCTCAAAAAAAAAAAAAAAAAAGAATTTCTCATGAACTTTTAAATATTTTACTTTATTTGTTAAGGTTTATTTATTTTATTCATGCTAGAGTATATGCATATATGAGTAAGAAAGAGAGAGAGAGAGGAATGCCATTGATTGGTTCTTATCCCACTGCAATACCCTTTCCCCGGGGCCAGCAGGTGGTGTGGTGGTTGAGGTGCTGAACTCCCACTATGGCTGACCATGGTTCGAGTCTTGGACCTGGTGGCTTGCTCTCTCTCTCTTTATCTCTTCCTCTCTCTCGTTCTCTCATCAAATTAAAAAATAATAAATAAAATTAAATAAATAAATATTTTTTAAAAAAAGAAACGAAAATACCCTTTCTCCATCCCTTCAGCTTGTCAGGATCTTCTGCACACAGGTCACGCTGGCCAGGGAACTGAAACCACAGTCGTCCATATGGCTTCCAGCACCGCAGTTCAACACACTACTGCCTATTGCCACTGAGGCTAGGCTCATGAACTTTTTTTTTTTCCTTAATTTATTTACTTATTTTTTCCATAAATGAGAGAGACACAGAGAGAGGCGTCACCCCAAGGGAGTCTTGCCTCCGTAATCTATCCCCAGCTTCAGCCAGCCCCAGATCACAGGGATACGCAAAAGCCTGGTGTACTCTGGGAGGTCACGGGACCCAAACCCAGGGTCAGCATTACAAAGAGACACATTTTACGACTGTACTGTTCTCCAGCCCAACTTGTTCTTGTTTTATTCCTTTTTTTTTTTTTTTTTTTTTGAGAGAGGTTTTTGCTATAGGGCGCGTGCGCTCGCCAGAAAGACAGAGAGAGACAGAGAGACAGAAAGCGAGAAATCACCCCCCAGAGGGGATGGCCACACCGCAATCCCTTCTCCTCCATTCTCCTCTCGGGATCTTGGGCACGCGCACACACACGCACCCGGCGTGAGTTTAAGCCCCTGGGTCCAGGACTCAAACCGCGGTCGACTATGTGGGAGTCCAGCGACATAGGCATTATCTCATCTGTTGGTCCCATTCGTTTTTTTTTTTTTTTTGGTTGTATTTTTATCTTTTTTCCTTTTTTTTTTTTTCCCCACAGGGCCACTTGTGCTTTCTGGGGAGAAGGGGGAGAGAGAGAGTGAGAAATCACCCCCTGGGGGGATGGCCACACTGCAATCTCTTCTCCATTCTCCTCTCAGGATTTTGAACATGCACGCGCACACACAGGCTCCCAGCTTGACCAGGACTCGAACCTCGGTCAACTGCAGGGAATCCAGCGACATAACCATTGCGCCATCTGCTGGCGCCACCTTGACTCTTCTGAAGCCAGAGATAACATTCCCCACTTGCTGGCCCTGGGCTCTGGCCCTGGGCGGGGCAGGGGGGGGTGCTCAGCTTTCATTCATGCTAATTTATGCTAATGACACGTGGCTCCGCCCCTCAGCGGGAGAATCCCTGGGACGTCCCTGCAGACAGCCAGCGGCTGCATTCAGGGTCCAGGATGGATGGGAGGGTCGTGACTCCATCTTCAGCTGGGTTCCCTGCGGAGGCTTTGAGCAAGGGGAGGCTGAAGGTGGACCCCTGTCTCTGCCAGATATTGACGACTGTGTCTGCAGCCCCTGTGACAACGGAGGCACCTGCATCGACCAGGTCAACGGCTTTGTCTGTCTCTGCCTTCCCAGCTACGGGGGCAGCCTTTGCGAGAAAGGTAAGTCTCTACCGGAAACCCCAGAGAGTTTTTCTGTTTGATTTTGCTACAGGGCGCATGCGCTCGCCAGAAGAACAGAGGGAGACAGAGGGACAGAAAGCGAGAAATCACCCCCCAGGGGGGATGGCCACGC